TACGGAACGCGATTGGTCGTGATAGCTGGCGAGGCCGAGTCGCCAGTCTATCGTCATGTTCGGATTGCGATGGGTGTCGCGAAGATCGCTGCAGGCGGAAAGACCGAGTTTCCGCTCTGCAATGTCGTTGACGTCGCTGATGCGTTCGCTGTCGCTGGTGTGGTTGTTGTCGCTTGTGTGGTCGATGGCGATCGCGCTCGTGTTGGAGTAGGGGTCGGAAAGACCTAGTTTCCGATCCCCTCGCAGTAGTCAGGTGGAGAGGCCGAGTCTCCACTCCGAACTCTATTATCTCGCCCTCTTCAATATCTGGACGGAGAGGCCTGGTCTCCGTTCCAGAATCAGACGCGTATAGCGAGATGGCCGCCTCATAATTGTTGCGCTCTTCTTCTTCGACTTGGACGCTCCAAGGCTTCTGTACCTCCTCTGCGGGTCGTCGCGCTTCACCGAGGTGAAGCGTAGTGTGGTGCTTCTCACCGCATCGACGGCATCGTCCTTCGCTGGTACATCGCTCGGTTGCGTGATCTGTGGCTAAACAATTTCCACAGTATCGACCAAGTAGCGCTTCTCTTAACCATTCTTCAGGTGTTTTCGCGCGAAAAACCGGGCATACCCTAATTGGGTGGTTCGCGTCGCATAAGTGGCACGGCACGACGAAGCGATGGGCATTCTTTGCGGCGTTTCGCTTTACTGCACTGAAGCGGGTCATGGTTGTCTGAAATACGCCCTTTTTATTTATGTGCCTGAGTTAATTTATATATATTTTATTTATTTTTTTTGTTGGGTGGCGAGCAATTAAATAAATAAAGTAAAACGGTTCGGCGAGAAAGTTTCGTTTTCCTTTTGCAAGTCTAAAATTTGCGATCTAAGCAGGGCATTTTTGGGCATATCGAAACTGGAAACTGGGACGTGTAAACGCAGAATTACCCATGTATTTTGGTTGATGGGTCACACCGGTACTATATATTTTCCTATGCAGGGTTGTACAGGAAGACAAAAAATAAATGTTGACCTGACATTATGGTAATTTTAACAAATTTCAAAGGCAATCATGAGAAAGTGTCAAACTGAAGGCATTCGCAAAAAATTTGTTTTTTGTTATTTTTTTTCTAATATCTGGCTTAAATTCTGCCAATGTCAAACAAACTTTCTTTGTACTTTGGAGACTTTTTGTTTAGCCACGATCGACACCCAACTGCCTAGCGGCACGAAACAAAGTTGAAGTGCCACTGTATGTGACCATTGCCAATAAACAGGGTAGCTTATATTCCAAAAATTGTAATATAAGTTTTAATTTGTTTTTGCACAAAATTACGTGGAGTATCTACAAACAAAATTAGTGCGTATATATCCGAACACGACATTCCACTAAAAAAATATTTGCAGAGATAGCCATCTTAAATGACTGACGACAAAGATCCATAATTTAACCGTCATACTGCGTTCACGTTATTTATGCATGGTTACGTTTGGTTCCAAGTGGCAATTAATAAATATAATTTTACGAATGATGATGAATGAAGACTGGGAGAAGAAAAAAAAAAAAAACTATTCTCCACAAACGAGAAATCGATGGCGCCGCTGGGAATTATGTAGTTGCGGCTTTAGGCGGAGACTTAAAAATATGTAGTTCCGGCTTTTGGAGGAGACTTAAATTGACATTTCTACTGAACGGCTCACGTTACGATTTCCTGAATGGCAAAAAGTCACTCAATCGATTGCCACATGGAGTAAAGCAGTAAAATGTGTAAGTATGCCTTGTATTTCCTTTACAATATTCGGTAATTGATAATTTTCTCTTTCAGAAACTAAAAAGGAATCGTGTGGATCTAAAAAGTTGCACAGTGGTCATTGGTAGATGCACAAAATCCAATGGCGNGAACGGCTCACGTTACGATTTCCTGAATGGCAAAAAGTCACTCAATCGATTGCCACATGGAGTAAAGCAGTAAAATGTGTAAGTATGCCTTGTATTTCCTTTACAATATTC